GAGAGAGAGAGACGGGATCTTTGGCCTAAAAAGGTATCAGTGGGCCATTTACGAAATTGGGATAGTGATAAAGCGGTGTAATGGTAACCAGTTTTTGTGGTTTATCAAGTAAATGGTAACTGGAACTAACAGAGAAGTCAAAAGAATATATAGGAGGCATGAAAAATAAAAATATTTGAACAGGAATGTTTCGGTCCATTAAGTCTCATGGCTTTTCAGCAGTGCAACTAAAAAATTGGAGGGAAAAGATGAAGAAGCAACTGCTTTTATACTTCTTCCTCATCAACATGTACCATTTTGCAGGTTGAGCGAGTGTTCCTACCAAAACCATGCCGCGGTTTTGCATATGTCTCGTTGAATGATCCGAAAGTGGTGAAGCGTCTTTGTCAAATCCGTGACTTTGTGTGCGCCGGGAAGAGTATTTATGTGAGTGTACCGCGTCCGAAGCGACAGGATCTGGAACCGCCGATGCGTATGAGAGAAGCATCACGAGATTATCGCTCACATCCGTATCGACATTCGTCCTATGGCGGCGGCGGCGGCGGCCGTTGGGATGACGAACCTCGTGGGCCTCGTAAAAGCAGCTATTACAACGATGATCCATATTCCAGTCGAGGTCACGGTATGTATGACGATTACTCGGGTGGTGGCTACGGAGGTGGCGGCCGTTCCGGGGATCCGTATTCGAGTCGATCTGGAGATATGTACTCGAGCCGTTCCGGCGACATGTATTCGAGTCGTTCCGGAGATATGTACTCGGGCGGTGGATACAACTCAGGCTCTGCTTATGGCTCGAGCAACGCTTCCAGAAGCTGGCGATGAAGAATCGATATCCATTTGGTCGTTTATATCTGAACTCGTTTATTTTGTGAACCCCTCCCTTACTTCCTACCCTCCCCTCCTGTTGTGTTACTCGTATGTTTTGATAAGAAGTAGAGTTTGTACCGGGATTTTTTGAAGAATTTTGGAATTTTTCAGTGGATTAGAGAACTGCGAATTTGAAAATTTTTATTATTTTATTTTTTGTTATATTTAATTGAATATTTTATTTCAATAAACTGAATATTTTATTATAAAAGAGAATGTGAATTGGAGGATTAGAGAATTAGAGAAGTGGAGAATTCTTCACTGGAATAGATCAGGGAGCAGTTTAAAGCTGATTTTGAATTCTGTCGTAGAATCCAAAATCAACGTTAAACTGCTTCCTGATATGGAATTTCGAGATTTTTTCAATACCAGTAACCCGTTTGTTTTGTTTTATCAAACTGTTTAGATGAAATTGGTCAAAATGGAAGAGCCCAGCATATTTGCGGCGAGATCACCCTAGAAACGTGG